CTTTGCCGTCTGGAAATTCGACACCAACACCTCACCGAACTTCTCCCTGGAAGCAGCTTTCGCTTTCGCTGCCGCCTTGCGCGCTTGTAAATATTGCATGCGAATTACAGGCTGTTTGCTTCCAAACCATTTCTGGCATGCAGCCTTGACAGCCACTTGTACGTCTCATGTTCAGCAACAATTCCTTTTCTTACCTCCATGTGGGACGCCTACCAGTTTAAATTCGGAGCATTCCAAGGCAGCTCTGAGTACGCCGCTTTTAAAGAGCTGCCACTCGGTTTCCACATCAGTGGTCGTCACCGGGATATGTTCAAACCGTCGTGCGATGTTTTTTGCAAATTTCGCTCTCGTGTCCACCGAAGATAATGTTTCCCATTTGATTCTCTGGTTGCTTCTGCAACCAGCTCTTTGCGTGGCACTAGATTTTTTAAAACGCAGCGTTCCAACGACAAGGTGGTGATCGGTTGACAGCACTGCGCCTCTTTTGACACGAACATTCATTACAGTGTCGTAAGTCAGATGATACGATTATCGAATTGATCATCGGCTTCTGTGCTCAAGCTTCCAGGTACCAATTATAGTGATGCACTCTTCGATGCTCGAAGATGTTCATAATGGGCGGTGGGTTGTTTGCATAAAACCGCAACAACTTCATGCCGTATTGTTGAGGTAACTAGAGCCGTTCTTTCCAGTTATGCTTTTCTACTTTACAGTGTCTGCGCTGACAGGCGCATCGAATCGATAGTGGGCACCTTCCACTTCCTCAGGGAAGGACTCATATTCTCCCTCCATGTTAGGCGCATAGACCTGTAACAAGGTCAGTGCTTTTATGTGCTGCAACTTAATCAGAAGATTGCTACACTTCCGCTGACAGTCTTCCATTCAGTGAGTGCGTCAGCCAGGTTCGGTTCAACCAGCACATCAACGCCGGCTTGATCGCGTTCCTGATGCCGACACCAAAGTAGAATAGCTTGCACTAGCAGAGGTTCAGAATTACAGAGCGCCAACACTTTGTTGATCAAAGTCTATCTATGTCCAGTCGGTTCTTGGCTCTCATCAGCAAGCGCCTGCTCTTTTCCCCTGAATGAAATGTTCGAATTGTGACGACTGTGAGCTCGAACTATCGGCATCTTCGCGTGTAACCTTACCTGACGTGCTATAACATTACGCTGTCTCCTCCTCCGTTCAATGAGTAGCGGCTCCGTTGTTGACTGATATCTTCGTTATCTTTCAGTCGATCTTCGGCGGCCATCGTTGTGCTGCTTCGTCCTAGCTGCCTAAAGGCATGAAGCAGGTTCTGATTGCTGACGTTTAACAATATGTGTCCAAGAGTGTGCGCGGCCGATGGCTACTCGGACGACTACCGTGTCAGTACAACTTTTGATAATGGCAATGCCACGGGGAGCAGGTGGCTGTTTTACGGTTGGCCTCGCAACGTTCGCCAACCCTCCTCTTTTCTCACCCGAGTTTGGGACCGGCATTGGCGTTATTATCCTATACAGCCCTTCGTCTGTCATATAGAGCAAATTCCTGCGTGTTGCCGCTCGTTTAGATGTGATTAACCTTTAACATTATCGGGGTCCTAACTTGGTTGGTGACATCGCAGGTAGAAGGTAGTTTTTTCAGTTAGCACGTAACATTTTTCATGCGGCCATTGGTAGTGTTACTAATAAAAGAAAGGATTTCAAGCCAAATTATGGTGCCATCTTGTTTATAGTCGATTTATCTTCCTTTGATCCCAGCGCAGTTTTGCTTGGGGTCATTGTTGATGAGGCTCAGCATAGTAATAAGCCTCATCTGATTACATAAATAATTAACTTAACGTTTGCATTGTGTCTAAATAAGCTGGTCTGACCCCGAATATGTTCTATAACGAGCGACTCCTTCAAGATTGAATTTCACGGCGTAATGCGCCGCCTCTTGCTCCTAGCTCTTTAGAGGATGCCATTTAGACAGGCCACGACTTCGTGGTATTTGAGCACCTGTAGAGCCAGATGCATCTTGCATCATTTTGTCCGCTAGAAGCCACCTCGCGCTAATCACGAATGACGTTTCAAGAACTGGTTCTCCTTGTATGCTCCGCATGAACATCATAAGTTATTCGAACAACTGAGTATGTCAAATAACGAATGACTCCTCAAAGGCCAGATCTGATATAGTGCTCAAATACCGTATAACCGTAGTTCGCGTAAATGGCCGTGCAGGCAACTAAGAACAAAGGATGGTACAAAACGCCGTGAAATCTGGTCTTAGAGGAGTCATTCGTTATTTTTTGTCAGAATATAATGTTGTTCTTCTGAAACTTGCGAAGTTTGCAACTTGTTAAGGCAGCTTTTGACGTGTTATCTAACCTGTTTTTTTCATAACCTTTCGCATTTCAGAATC